TGGTAGAATGATTTAAAGTAGATAAATCAAATTCACATAGCTCAAAACAAGTATTCACTAGTGCTTAAAGTGTGTCTCCACTTCTAACTGGTAATTTTTATGACCAAAACCTTGGTGGAGGTCATTCACAAGGGCCTCAAATTTAGACTTTTAAAGGCCATCTCCACATGAAAGTTTGGAAACCCTACGGAAGAAAACATTAAAAAACTTTAAAATTGCATCCAATTCCCAGACCACACCACCTGGAGGTGGTAGAAATAGAGGAATCAATGTCAGATTACCCCTAAGCAAGGCAAGCATGGGCTGAGTTGTGCTTACTTACTAATCTGTAGTGAACCATCTCATATTTTTTCACCACATCAAAGATTCTGTTTCTGACATCTGTCTCTCCCTCAACCCCACAGCACCTTCCTACAGAATCAAAGTCTGTTTTTAAATTGACAATCCCTGGCAGGGATGGAGTACCTAGCAAACAAGGTAAGAATGGGCTTCCTTGTGCTTACCTACCTACCAATTTCAATGAACAATTTCACATATTTTTTTTAACCACATCTTTGATGAGAGCCATGTGATTACCTTGCTTATTGGGTAATCCTCCCTGATAAGCACAAAGATGTAAATACAAATTTACATACATATTTATGTACATACATAGTAGTATACTGTCACTTCTCTGTCCGTTTGCCTTCCTGTGGTGGCTTGCATGTTTGCTGTGATTCTGGAAGCTATGCAACCAGTGTTCTAAATACCAGCAGGGTCACCCCTAGTTGACAGGTTTCGGCTGAGCTTTCAGACTAAAACAGACAAAAAAGGAGAGACACACTACTTGTGAATATTTAGTCACTAACAACCTTATGAATAGCAGTGGAACACTGCCAGCACCAGAATATTGACTATTGAAACATGATGAAATAGTCAATTGTCAGATATAGTGCCAGAAAATGAGCCCCTTAGGTTGGAAGGCACTCAAATACAACTGGGAGAGAGCTCCCTCCTCAAGGTAGAGTTGATCATGATGACGTGAGTGGAATAAAGCTTTTGAGACCTTTATTAGCTGATGGGGCACAAGTCAAAATGAGGAGAAACGGTTGTAAACATTCATTAATAATTGGAACATGGAATGTACGAAGTATGAATGTAAAAAAATTGGAAGTTGTAAAAAATGAAATTGAACACATAAACATTGATATTCTAGGCATAGTGAGCTGAAGTGGACTGGTATGGGTCATTTTGAATCTGACAACCACATGGTTTACTATGTTGGGAATGAAAAAATTGAAGAGGAATGGTATCAAAAGGAACATTTTAGTATCTATCTTGAAGGACAATGCTGCTTGTGATAGAATCATGTCCATATGCCTGCAATAGTTAATATAATTATTATTCAAATTTACCCACCAACCACTAAAGCCAGTGATGATGAAATTGAAGAATTCTATCAACTCCTTCAGTCTAAAATGGATCAAACATGCAATCTAGATGTGTTGGTAATTATTGGTTATTGGAATGCAAAGGTTGGAAACAAAGCAAAGATCAGTTGTTGTAAAATATGGCCTTGGTGACAAAAATAATGCTGGAGATCACATGATAGAATTTTGCAAGACCAATGATTTCTTCATTGCAAATACCTTTTTAAAATAGCATAAGAGATGGCGATATGCATTGACCTCACCAGATGAAATACACAGAAATCAAATTGACTACATCCGTGGAAAGAGACTATGGAAAAGCTCCATATCATCAGTCAAAGAAAGACCAGGGAAGACTGGGGAAAAGACCATCAATTGCTTATATGCAAGTTCTGGTGGAAGCTGAAGAAAATGAAAACAAATCCATGAAAGCCAAAATTCGATCTTGAACATATCACACGTGAATTTAGAAATCATCTCAAAAAGAGATTTGATGCATTAGACATTAATGACTGAAGATCAGAAGAGTTGTGGGATGACAAGTAGAACATCAGACAGGAAGAAAGCAAAAGGTCATTAAGAAGACAAGAAAGAAGGAAAAGACCAAAATGGATGTCAGAAGAGACTCTGAAACTTGCTATCCAGTGCAGAGATGATAAAGCAAATGGAAGAAATGAGGAGGTAAAAGAGTTGAATAGAAAATTTCAAAGGGCAGCTTAAGAAGACAAAGTCAAATATTATGATGAAATGTGCAAGGATCTGAAGTTGGAAAATGGAAAGGGAAGAACATACTCAGCATTTCTCAAGATGAGGGAATGGAAGAAAAAATTCAAGCCTCAACTTATAATACTGAAGGATTCTAAGGGCAAAAAATAATGGAGTCCTGGTGTGGTGCTATAGGCTAATGCACTGGACTGCAAAGTTGATTTGAACCACAAGGGCAGCAGTTCAAGCTCTTTGGAAACCCTATACAGGGTCGCTATGGGTCGGAATGGACTTGGTGGCACTTAACAACAATAACAATGGGAAAAATATTGAATGATGCAGAAAGCACCAAAAGAAAATGGAGGTAATACACAATGTCACTGTGCCAAAAAGAAATGCTTGATGTTCAACCATTTCAAGAGGTAGCATATGATCAAAAGTCAGTGATACTGAAGAAAAAAGTCCAAAGGTGCATTGAAGGCATTGGCAAAAGAACAAGGCTCCAGGAATTGATGGAATACAAACTGAAATCATTCAACAAACTGATTCGGCACTGGAGGCACTCACTCATCTATGCCAAGAAATTTGGAAGACATCTGTCTGGCCAACTGACTGGAAGGGATCCACATTTGTGCCCATTCCAAAGAGAGATGACCCAACAGGATGCAGAAATCATCAGGCAATGTCATTAATATTACATGTAAGTAAAATTTGGCTAGAGATAATTATAAAATGACTGTTACATTGACAGAGAACTTCCAGAGGTTCAAGCGGGTTTAGACATCAGATGGATCTTGGCTGAAATCAAAGAACACCAGAAAGATATTTACTGGTGCTTTGACTATACAAAGGCTTTCGATTTTGTGGATCATAACAAGCTGCAGACAACATTGCAGAGGATCAGTATTCAGAGCATTTATTGTGCTCATGAGGAATGTATGTATAGCTCAAGAGGCAGTTGTTTGAACACAGCAAGGGAACACTGAATGGTTTAAAATCCGAAAAGGTGTGTTACAGGGTTGTATTCTTTCACCATACTTATTCAATCTGTATGCTGAGCAAATAATCCAAGATGCTCTGTTATATGAAGAAAAATGTGGCATCAGGATTGGAGGAAGGTTCATTAACCACCTGTGATATGCAGATGAAAGCTTGCTGAAAGCGAAGAGAACTTAAAATACTTACTGATGAATATAAAAAGTCACACAGCCTTTGTAAAGAAAACAGAAATGATTAAGAATGGGCCAATAAACAGTATCAGGATGGAGAGAGGATTGAAGTTGCCGAGGGCTTTGTTTGCTTGGCTCAACCATCAACACTCATGGAAGCAGCAGTCAAAAAATAAATGATGTATTGCATTGGGCACTTCTGTTGCACAAGACCTCTTTGTTCCAGAGCAAAGATGTCAGTTTGAGGATTGAGGTGCCCCTGACTCAAGCCATGGTATTTTACAATAACCTCATATGCATGTAAAAGTTAGACAATGTATAAAGAAGACCAGAGAAGAATTGATGCATTTGAGCTATGGTGTTGGAAGAGAATATTGAAGGTACCATGGACTGTTAAATGAACAAACAATTCTGTGTTGGAAGAAGTACAGACAGAGTGCTCCTTGGAAGCCAGGATGACCAGACTTCATCTTTCATACTTTCGATATATTATCAGAATGGACTAGTCCCTGCAGAGGGACATCATGTTTGGTAAAGTGGAGGGTCAGTGAACAAGAGGAAGACCCCCCAATGAGATGGATTGGCACAGTGGCAGCAGCAATGGGTTCAAGCCTTGGGAGGTTGGCGCAGGACCCGTTGGTGTTTGGTTCTGTTGTGCGTAAAGCTGCTATGAGTCAGGACTGATTCGATGTCACCTAACAACAACAGCATGGTATTGGGACTCCTGATGTGGCGCTGTAGGATAAGCACTGGACTATGAACCACTAAATCCGTGGTTCAAACCTGCCAGCTGCTGCTGGGAAATCCTGTCCAGCGTCACTATGAGTTGAAACCGACTGGAAGGCACGTAACAACAATAGTAGTACTGATCCTTGGTGTGACGCTCTAAGATAAGCACTGGACTGCTAACCACAAGGTCGGGCGTTCAAACCCACCGATTGCTGTCACAAACTCTATACAGGGTCGCTATGAGTCGGAACAGACTCGATGGCACACAATAAAGTTGTTAACAGCTGCCAAGTCGGTTCCGACTCAGCGTATTAGTACTAAAGTTGAAATGTGTTAAGATGTCTATTTAAAATATACCACGATTTCTGTAGCTTAGCTTGTACTTTCATCATTCTTCAATCACTGCTAAGAATCAGAAAACATAAGCAGGCCTTCAGATCTCTGAGGCAAAATACCTGCTGTTGCTCCATTTTATATGTGAATGAATGCTTGAGGACCAAAGACACAGCGAACTAATGGGATACGTTTGAACGACGCTTAGCAACCGTTACCAGGACGACGCAACTTCAACGGATACCACGCCAAGTAATGCTTAACTTCCCCTGTTATCAGCAGGCACTGCGCAGTCTCTAAGTCGCCCACTTCCTTCTATCCCAACATGCAACGGGGCCCAAACATCAAGCAACCTTCTTCAGGGTAATTAAAGAAATGCCTAAAGATCTGCATTCATTTAAACTTTTTAAATTGCCTGAAATGAATTACATATGGGAGAGAGCTCTGACGAAAGTCCTCAGTTATTTTTTCAGCGCTCTTAGTTATAAAACCCGAGAACAAAAGCCTAATTTTCCTCTGGACTTTCTCAGGCGCCTCTTTGGGCAGCCCGCGGAGTCTGGCGGTGTGGGGTCCTTGGGGGCTCAGGCCGGGTACGTACGGAAGGAAGTGGTGCTGTCTGTCCGTGCGGCGCTCGTGGGCACCTCAACTTGGAACGATGGGAGGTCTGGAGAAGAAGAAGGTGAGCAGGAGAGACGTCAGGGAGGCTGGGAGGCAGAATTTGAGGACCATACCTTCCCCCACTCTCAGCCCCTCATGGGTAGAGAAGCGGCGCGGATCATCGTGGGGGAGTCCTATGTGAGGACAGCAGAGCTCGTCCGATGTTGAAATCCGGAAAGAACCCTGGAGTGGAGTTGTGAGAGAGCAAGTTTTCAGCAAAAGCAGGATTACTGTATTGTTGTTGTTAAGGGCCGTCGAGTCGATTCCGATCCATAGCGACACTGTATAGGGCTTCCGATGAGACGCTGGTGAGCTTGAACCGCCTACCTTGTAGTTCAAATGGCTTTGCAGTCTGACTCATTAACCCACAGCGCCACACCAGGAGTCCGGATTACTGTATGGGTGGTGGTGGTGTGCCGTGGAGTCGGTTCCGACGTAGCGACCCTGTACAGAGTTTCCGAGGCTGTAAATCTTTACGGGAGCAGAAAGCCTTATCGTTTTCCCACGGAACTACTGGTAGTTTCGAACTGCTGACCTTGCGGTTCACAGCCCGATTTGTAACCACTTCGCTACATAGTGGGTGGTAAATATTATATGAACAGCATCGTCTCTTAGACTTGTTATACTCGTAGGTATGGGCTTCTTGAGTCGGAGCCGACTCCATGCAACTAAAGAGAATAAGACGACTTACTATATTCTCTTTCCTATTGAATCAGACCCTTTTCTGGGCATTGGGGATATAGTCCCAGTCTTCCTGAGCTTTCTTTCTACAGGGGAAATGGACACAAAAGTAAACCAAATCAAATGATTACAGATGAGTCCTGTGAAGGGAACAAGGGATAAAGCTAGAGAACATACAAGAATATTCGTTGTTTTTGGAAGTCTCTGAGAGGCGATAAACATCGAAGTTGGAATCTGTATGAGCAGATCGAACCTCGGAAAGGTTCTAGGGTATTGGAGTGCTTAGGGATCTTGCCTGGCAGGGGTAAATTGTAAGTGCCAAGACCTGCACTGGGAAAGATTTGCTCTGTGCAAGAAACTGGAAGGACACCAGGATGGCTGGGCTCTCTCAGACCAAGGGAAGAGCATTGGCAGAGGTTAGAGTTACACAGTGCTGGAATTCTCTGAGGCCATGGTGAGCCATGTAAGCCGTGGTGAGGAGCCTTGGATTTGGTCCTAAGTGCAGTGGGAAGCAACTAAATGGGAGTGAAGATGCACCATCCTGAGACAATCTGTAACCCATCTGTGTAGCCTCAGGACTTAGCATGGGCCTGAGCTGTCTTAGGCAGTTAGTGGATAAATGTTGAGTTCTTCATGGACAAATTCCTTTGGAGACTATAGGTTTGTCTCTGGAGCTGGTTCTGACTTTAGAACCTCTTGCTGCCTTGGGCCTCTCCAGTGGGAATGCTATTGAGAAAGGACAAGCTTGGTCAGCGTTGCAGGGTGTATGGTACAAGATATCTCAGGAACACAGACATTAGAGTGGGAGGTAGCATTTTAGTACCACAGGCATCCAGATGGTGGCACAAAACTGCACTTTGGGGCAAGCAGACACCAAGCCTTTTGTCTTAATTGCCCTTGTAGCATCTAGCTTGATGATTTCACTGTAGTGAAGTTCCTGTGTTCGCCTGTTGAATGATGAGATGAGAAAAGGCAGAAGTTGTATGCTCTATAGCATGCATTCTAAAGCTGGGCAATACTACCCTCAAGGGAGCAGAAATTGGCTCTGGGGCATGGGATTTTAGATAGTGCAATGATTTAGGACCTTCCAAAGGCTCACATTGTTGTTAAGTGCCTCGAGTCAGTTCTGACTCATAGCAATCCTACATAGGGTTTCCAAGGAGCAGCTGATGGGTTTGGACTTGTGGTTCACAGTCCTATGCTGATCCCACATCACACATTGCATAATCAAATATGTAATAACTGTGATATTAAAATTGCATGAGTCTTTGAAGGTGAGGAATCGAGGAATAATAAGGTAGAGAAATAGTGGCTTAGTACTTAGGAGCTCAGACTGTGGAGCCAAGCTGGGTTGAATCCCAGCTTCAGCACTTAATAAACTGTGTGGTTTGGATAGGTTATCTAACCATGTGGAGCCTCTTTCATAAGGAGCCCTGCAGTGGTTAAGTGCTGGCCAAAAGGTTAGTGGTTCAGACCTACCAGCCACTCCATGTAAGAAAGATCTGATGATCTGCTCCTATGTAAAGATTGTTGTTATAGTGTGCCATCGAGTTGGTTCCTAGAGCAGCTGGTGGGTTTGAACTGCCAACCTTGTCATTAGCACGGTTTAGCAGCCCAGTGCTTATCCTACAACTTTGGAAACCCTTTCAGGCACTCTTCCTTTTACCCTGTTGGGTTGCTAATGACTTGGAATCCATTCAATAGCAGTGGGTTTGGTGTAGAGTTTTTGAATGTCTTTCCTTTCATGCAAAAAGGAGTAGTGAGTAGCCTGTAACAGACACCCACCTCACAGGTGTGTGAAGATCAAATGAAATAAATTCATGGAGCCAGCTCATGATAGCATCCCAAACTTAAGAGCTAGTACTACGTGCTAGGCACAGCCGTTGATACATTACTGCAACCTCACAATCCCCAACATCATGCTTTGTATATGTTTGTGTCCTCTACACTGACATTGGCAAGGATGATGCAGGATTACTTTCAGTTGAGTGGGCTTCCTCCCTATAGCATTCCCTGCCCCTGAAACACATTGAGCACTTCTCTGGACCAGTAGTTGCCTCTGGAACAAGGCATGCCCAGAGTTTGATGTAAGTCACTGAAATAATTGCTAATGATTTGTTTTTTTTCTTCCTAAGTATGAACGAGGCTCTGCCACCAACTACATCACTCGGAACAAAGCCCGAAAGAAGCTACAGCTGAGCTTGGCTGACTTCAGGTAAGGACACGAGGACGACAGAAAGGGATCTCCCGGTGTCTGGGCAAGGGTACACAGTGAAAACTCCTCCTCACTGCCCTGCACCACACCTGTCTATGAGCTGCTGAAACACACTGGGCATTCGGGCAGTCTCCTCTTTCTCACCCAGCCAGCTTTAGCGAGCTGTGCTTTCTTAGGTGTGATCAGTTAGGAAGCTGGAGGAGAACAGGGTGGTGCAGGCCTGAGATCATCAGAACCCATCCCCTCCTGCAGGAGAGTCCTCAGTCAAATGCAGCCTCTGCTGTGGCCTGCAGGCCCTGAAAGCTGGCCACCTCTCACTTCTGCAGTTGCGTTAGGCTGTATTCTCATCACCTGGCCCACTTTAGTTCTTTAAACCCACCCAGCACTTTTCCAGCCTTAAGGCATTTGTTGCCCTCCTTCAGATGTTCGTCCTGTCCCCATCCCACTTAATATCTTTTTTTTTTCACTTATGAAAACAAAATGGTCTCATGGTTCTGGTTGTTTAAAGTCCAAATCAGGATATCTGTCAGAGGGAGAGCCATTTCCAGGCCTCTCTCATCTTCCAGAGGCTTTGAGCCATCTTAGGCATTCCATGGCCAATCATCTGTCTCTGTCTCTGTCTCTTCTATCAGGCACCACTCACAGAGGATTCCACCACTTGTCTGTCAGTCTGCCATTCTGTAGTGGCTTTCGTGTTGCTGTGATTCTGGAAGTTATGCCATTGGTATTTTAAATACCAGCAGGGTCACTCCTGGTGGACAGGTTTCAGCTGAGTTTCCAGATTAAGACAGACTACTTGCAAATATTTAGTCACTGAAAACCTTATGAATAGGAGTGGAAGATTGTCAGTTAGCACTGGAATATTGAACATTAAAACATGATGTCGAACACCAGAATATTGTCAGATATAGTGCTGGAAGATAGCCCCTAGGTTAGAAGGCCCTCAAATAACAACTGGGGGAAGAGCTTCCTCCTGAAAGTAGAGTTGACTATGATAATATGAATGGAATAAAGCTTTTGGGACCTTCATTTGCTGGTAGGGCGCAACTTAAAATGAGGAGAAGCAGCTGTAAACATCCATTAATAATTGGAAAATGAATGTAGAAACTATGAATCTGGGAAAATTGGAAAGTGTCAAAAATGAAATGGAATGCATAAACATTGATATCCTAGGCATTAGTGAGCTGATATGTACTGATATTGGTCATTTTGAATCTGACAATCACATGGTTTACTATATGCCAAGAATGACAAATGGAAGAATAGCATTACATTTATTATCAAAAAGAACATTTCAAGCTCTATCTTGAACATCACATTGTCTGTGATAGGATAATATCCATACACCTAGAAGGAAGGCCAGTCTGAAATTGATCATCCATGCAATCAAGATGTATTTATAATTTCTGACGATTGGAATGCATAGGTTGGAAACAAAGAGGAAGGATTAGTTATTGGAAAATATGAACTTGGTGATAGAAACGATGCTGGAGATCACATGATAGAATTTTGCAAGACCAGTGACTTCTTCATTGCAAATACCTATTTTAAGCAACATAAAAGATGATTGCATACATGGACCTTACCAGATGTAATACACAGAAATCAAATTGAGTACATCTGTGGAAGGAGACGATGGAAAAGTTCCATATCATCAGCCAAAATGGCCAGGGGCAGACTGTGGAACAGATACCAATTGCTCATATGCAAGTTCTGGGTGAAGCTGAAGAAAATTCAAACAAGTCCGCAAGAGCCAAAATATGACCTTGAACATATCCCATCTGAATATAGAGATCATCTCAAGAATAGATTTGATGAATTTATTAGGCACTAATGACTGAAGACCAGAAGAGTTGTGGGATGACATCAAGATTTTCATACAAGAAGACAAGAAAGAAGGAAAAGACCAAAATGGATGTCAGAAGAGATGCTAAAACTAGCTCTCCAGCATAGAAATACTAAAGCAAGTGGAAGAAATGAGGCGGTAAAGAGTTGAGTAGAAAATTTCAAAGGGCAGCTTCAGAAGACAAAGTCAAATATTATAATGAAATGTACAAAGACCTTGAATGAGAAAACCAAAAGGGAAGAACACAATCAGCATTTCACAAGCTGAGGGAATTGAATTAAAAATTCAAGTGTCAACTTGCAATGTTGAAGGATTATGTGCAGGAAGCATCAAATGAAGATGGAGGGACACAGAGAGTCACTGTATAAAAAAAAAAAAAAGGTTGATGTTTAACCATTTCAAGAAGTAGCATATGATCAAGAGCCAGTGAACTGAAAGAAGAATTTCAAGGTACACTGAAGACACTGGCAAAGAGCAAGGCTCTGGGAATTGATGGAATACAAATTGAAGTCTTTCAACAGGTTTATGCAGCACTGGAGGCAGTCAAACAGTTGTAGCAATACACTGACAGAGAACTGACAGGTTCAAGCTGTATTCAGACGAGGACGTGGAATGAGGGATATCATTGCTGATGTCAAATGGATCTTGACTGAAAGCAGAGAAAGAGGTTTCCTTGTGCATCTGATTGTGTGGATCACAAAGAATGTGGCATCAAGCTTGGAGGAAGACTCGTTAACAACTTACTAAAATATTCAATATACAGGTGATACAACCTTGCTTGCAGAAAGAACTTAAAGTGCTGATGAAAATCAAAGGCCACAGTCTTCAACATAGGTTGCATCTAAATGTAAATAAAACAAAAATCCTCACCACTGCACCATAGCTGCAAGATAAATGGAGAAAAGATTGAAGCTGTTAAAGTGTTCAAGAGCAAAGATGTCAGTTTGAGGACTGTGGTGTACCTGAACCAAGCCATGGTATTTTCAGTAACCTCAAATGAATGTGAAAATTGAAATAAATAAAGAAGACTGTAGACAAATTGATGCATTTGAGTTTTGGTGTTGGAGGATAATATTGAAAGTACCGTGGATGGCCAAAAGAAAAAACAAATCTGTGTTGAAAGAAGTACAGCCAGAATGCTCTTTAGAAGCCAGGGTGGCAAGACTTTGTCTCTAATACTTTGAACATATCAGGAGGGAGATATGTTCCTGGAGAAGGACATAATCCTTGGTAAAAAGGAGGGTCAGTGAAAAGGAAGAAGAACCCCCAACAAGATGGATTGGCATAATGGCAGCAGCAGTGGGCTTAAGCATAGCAACGATTGTGAGATTGGTGCAGGACTGGACAGTGTTTTGTTGTGTTGTGCATAAGGTCTTTACCGACTAGACCACACCTAGCAACAATAGTCATAGAGGATTAGAACCTACTAGTATGATGTCATGTTAACTTACCTGACAACCTCTTCACAGACCCTATTTCCCACAAAGGTTGTATTCACAGGGACAGGGGTCTTTGGGAAACCCCATTCAATCCATAGTAAGGGACAAAGGAATAAATAAGTAGTCAGTATTCTTCCCTCTGCTTTTTCAGTGGTTGACTCCATACTGTTGTTAGGTGCTGTCAAGTTGGTTCTGAGTCTTATCGACTCTATGTACAGTAGAAGGAAGCACTGCTTAGTGTGTTGTGCCATCCTCACAATCATTCTGTGTTTGAATTCACTTTTGAAGCCACTGTGTCAAGCCATCTTGTTGAGGGTATTCCTCAATATCACTGACCCTCCACTTTACCAAGCATGGTGTCCTTCTTCAGGGACTGGTCCCTCCTGATAATATGGCCAGAGTAACCTGAGATGAAGTCTCACCATCCTTACTTCTAAGGAGCATTCTGGCTGTACTTCTTCCAAGACAGACAGGTTCCTCCTGAAAGTCTTTCTTGTTAGGTCATCTAAAATGTAACATTCTCAGCCAGGCTTCTCCTGACCCCTAGTAAAGGGGCCACTTGCCCACCAGCCCTTCTCTGTGTCCTGTATGTTTCCTTTCTCGTGCTGTGACCATCCACAATCTGCTTGGGTACTTGTCCTGCTTGCTTGGGAACTTACCCTAGAATGTGTGCCCTCTGAGAGCAGGGAGCACATGCTCCCTGTTCCTGTTGTTTAGGCCCTGCTATAACCAGTGACAAGGAGTTCTGGTAGCGTAGTGGTTACAAATCGGGCTGCTAACCTCAAGGTTGGCAGTTCGAAACTACCAGCTGTTCGTGGGAAAAAGATGAGACATTCTGCTCCTGTAAAGATTTGCAGCCTCAGAAACCCTGTGCAGGGTCACTATGAGTTGGAACCGGCTCCAACTTAACAACTTATGGTACTTAACAACTTATGTTAGGAGTCCTGGTGTGACACTGTAGATTAAAGCGTCAGACTACAAAGCCGTTTGAATTGCAAGGTTAGTGGTTCAAGTTCACCAGCTGCTCCTCGGAAACCCTATACAGGGTCTCTATGGGTCGGAATCGACTTGACAGCACTAAACAACAACATAACCAATGACAGCGATTTATTGACAGAGTGAAGTTTCCTGACAGTTTCTGTCTTCCAGGCGGCTGTGCATCCTGAAGGGCATTTATCCCCATGAACCTAAACACAAGAAGAAAGTTAACAAGGGCTCCACAGCAGCCCGGACCTTCTACCTTATCAAAGACATCAAATTCCTCCTCCACGAACCCATCGTCAACAAGTTCCGGGAATACAAGGTGAGGCCTTGGTTCTGGACTTGGGATGGGATGGGTCCCTGTTGAGCTTGTGGCCCACTAAGTCTGAGGTTACTGAACCTCTCTGAGTGAGCCTGTACATTCTTAAAGGGATTCATGAAGGTCAGCTGATAGATTATATGTGTGGAAATCACTTGCATTGTTGTTTGTTAAGGGCCACAGAGACTCATGGTGTGTAAGGTTTCCTAGGCTGTAAGTTGTTTGTTTGTTTTTTTTAATGAGTGAAAGTTTGTAGAGCAGATCATCAGTTTTACATTCAGCAAATGATATACTTTGCTTCATTACAGCCCCCTTCCTCCATGTACCAGCAGTTAACAGTAGTTACCTCTGTTCACTTTAACTCTTGCCTTCCTTGCTGCTGAGGCTGTAAATCTTTGCAGGAGTAGAAAGCCTCATTTTCCTCCAATGGAGTGCCTGCTGGGCTCACACCTTGTAGTTCCAAGGTCCTCAGTCCAGTGCTTATCCTACAGAGCCATTGTGCTCCCCAGATTAGGCCTTGGTAAATGATCATTGATGTACCTGTGTTGGCTTTCCCCTGGTTCTTTCTGGAAGGTTTTGTGACTGTGAAACCAAGATGGTACAATTTCAGAGGCTCCGTGTGCTCTCTGCATAGAATTGGCTCCTGTTTTGAATCTCTCTGACATAACTCCCAGGAGGCCTGGCATCTCTTTCCACAAATAGAATTCATTGGATGTTAAGACCCCACAGGGGAAAGCAGGAACCTATGTATATCATATGCAGATGACAGAAAGTGAACTGCTGCTGCTGAAGTCTTGGCCAGGGAGCCAATCCAGCCTTTCCTGGAGGGGAAGGGCGCCTCCTGGTGTTCTGCAAAGGCTGTCCAGCAACTGCTGCCATTTGCGCAGGCCAAGTCTGCTGGAAGTGTTGTATTACTGCTGGGCGTTGCAACCACATTAACTCACCAAGCAGAAAGTAGGTATTTTGTGGGAAGGGGCTGCCCCAATCTGCTAGTTTAGGAACCATCTGGCTCGCAGCTGGCCTCAGTTATACTTACCACAGCTTGTTCATGGCCCCTGACCCTACTCTGACTCACTGACAGGCCAGAAGGAGAGTGGGGTTGGTGTGCCTGCCTTTCTCTCATGAGAATGTGTAGATGCTCATCTCATGGACAGTCTGCTAGTGTGGGACCCTCCTGCTACTCCTTGGAGTTGGCACTTTTGTTAACCCTGGCCTGAGGGTGCTGGCAAGCTCCAATAGGCTTTGAGAGCTCTACCCATATATCACAAAACAGAGTTGTCCAGAAGCCCCATGCCCACGCCCACGCCCACGCCCTGGATATCAGTGTCTCTTCCTCTCTTCCAGGTTTTTTTTTCTTTTTATTGTGAATTGAGTGAAAGTTTACAGGACAGATCATCATCAGTTTTACGTTCAACAAATCATACACCTTGCTTCATTATAATGATTATAATCCCCTCCATGTACCATCAGTTAACAGTATGTCTCCGTTTTCATTTTAGCTCTTTTTTTTTTTTTAACACTAAGGATATATAATAATTTAAACAACCAAAGGTCACATTCTGCAAGTCTGCCTCCTGGCCACCAGCTCTCAGTCCCTCTCTTCCCATGAATCTAGAGTCCTCAGCTACTACCTCTCTCCATGTCCCCATCTCTGCCTCCATCTCTGGTGTCGCTGCTTCTCTGGATAAGGTCCGCATTCTGCTTGTGCTCTTCTCCCTAGATGGTCCTAGAGTCCTTTGTTTCCTTTGTTTCTGGACTGTAAGATTAACTACTCCCCCATTTTTGTTATAAAACTTGTACCTTTACAATTGTGACAGTCACAGTTAGTCATGATAACAATTACTCACTGTTGTATCATAAGAATCTTAGCCCCATCTCTTTTTACTAGACCCATCTAGACAAAATGAAAACTATTCAGTGGGAACTCCATCTTCCTTCACACACTTTTAAACTAAACTCCCTCTTGAAACCTTGTAAGCCAGTCACTTCATGCCTTTATCGCCCCTCATTTTAAGTAGCCAGTGTCGTAAGTTGCCCATCCCTATCTACCCTGTGTACGGAGGGGATAGCATTGATACTTGATGTGAAGACTCCTTCCCTCTCTTGTTGATATTTAGAACTACTACCTCCATGAGTATAGATCAAGTTCATCAAAGTATAATAATTTACCCACATTTCCTTTATCAAAAATTACTATTTTTTTTTTATCCCTTTAGTCAAGTTCTGATTATCAAGTCATCAAGGCTAGGTCCAGTGGGTACTTTTTGCAAGTTTGGGTATTCCTGTGCATCTCCCATCACTTCATATCAGCTGGACACTTCACTCAGCTCTAGGTCTCCTTGGCTATGTCCTTGTCCATTGGCTCAAGTGTCCCCAGGTCTCACCTCACTTTGGATCAACCAGCCCTTCCTCTTTTCTCTCTTCTCCAGGTCAACGGGAGTCCATGGAAAGTGGTCGAACTCAGCCCATTTCTTCATTGCTGCCTTTCCCCCTCTTCCACTCACCAGTAGACAAACATGGTCGTCAGCAAGCTTACATGCTTGCTCATGTGTTCCTTTTGAATTTCAGTCTTAGAGGGGGGTTTGTCCTGGGGGAACTTGATTTCTTGCCTTGATGGCTTCCCAGCGAACAACTTGCTTATGATTGTAGTAGCCAGCCATTTTTGTTTTGGGTTTTTTCTGATGATCTTTCTTTGAAGATGTATCTTCTGTCGCTCTAGCTATTCCAGGCTGGTCTGTTTGTCCTTTCTAGTGGGAATGGCCCACTTCAGAAGGTTCTGGATGAGGCTCAGGATTCCACGTAAGGTCCTATACTCTGCAAATGCTCCGCAAGAGGCCTATTTCACTGGGCAAGTTCTAGAACCCCTTTTAGGTATTCCAATCAGTTATAGGCTGAAGACGGGCTTGCAAGCTTTCTGTAATCATGTTTCCCAACATTTCCTTTCTGTCCCACTCAAGTTTGTATTTTACAATAGTAGGCAAGGGAAACCAATATTCACAAGACCATCAAGCATCTTAGTATTATTTCCCCTCTTCAAACTATGCCTCAATCTCTTCCAGGTATTTGTCCGGAAGCTCCGGAAGGCCTATGGGAAGAGTGAATGGAACACTGTGGAACGTCTGAAGGACAATAAACCCAATTATAAGCTTGACCACATCATTAAGGAGCGGTAAGTGGGGTGCCATCAGAACACTGCTTTTTGTCCGTTCGCTGCTGACCTCTGTCTTAGATCCTAGGGGGGAAACCAACACCCTGTCCAAGGAGCTGGGACCCTTTTGGAGGAGGCATACCGATAAAACACTGACAAATCACTGTAATGATTGCAAGACACAATGAGTGCTATGAATGGAAACTGCATGAAGGGGTCTGGGCGTAGCTTAGTTAACAAACTTGTCAGAGGAGGTTTTTCTGAGGGGAGATGTTTGAGCCAAGCACAGGAAACAGCAAGTGTAAAGGCCTGCAGTGGGTGCCTGACACACCTGAGAAAGTTGTCAGGGGACACTGCTCTGGTCCTTAACCCTTTCCTGCCCAGCTATTTCAGGAGTGCCCTTCTCATTCATTAGCTAAATCAGTCGTTTTCAACCAGGAGCAGTTTTGCCTCCAAGGGTATGTTTGTCAATGTCTAGAGACATTTTGGGTTGTCACAATTGGCATGTGGATGATGCTGGCCATCAATGGGGAGAGGCCAGGGATAGCCTTCATTACAAAGAACTGCCTCACCCAAAATGTCAGTCATGCAGAAGCTTGACCCTAGATGGGCTAGATGAATGTCTGTCATCTCTTGTGGCTGATGGCCCAGAACCATTTGGCTCTAGGATAGATGGATCAAGCCACCCTCCTGGACATCTCAGCTCTGGGGGAGCCCTCATCTCTTAAATAAATAGTGGTGGTCCCTGTCCTGCCAGGTGGTGGGACGCTTGTGGTTTCTGTGCCACCTGCTTTTTAGCCTGAGCTTACGGAAAAACAGCTAAGAACTGGCCCAGAGGGGACTGTGCCCTTCAAAGGGCTGAGTTGGGTTTGCCTGCCTGTGAGGTGGAGAGTTGGGAAACGGTGAGGCCTCAGGAGAGTGGGGTGTGATGTAGCTCCCAGATTTGTGCCAGAAAGCCAGACCATCCTCATCCGGCTGTCTGGAGAGGTCCTGGAAAGTCCATCTCTTGGGTTTACCCTGTCTGACATGTTGGAGGTCCATGGCGACCTCTGGACCCCTGGCTTCCAATGAGTCCTGGTAAAGCAGCAGAGTCCTGTGCTGAAAACCTGGTTTCCGGGAAGGAATTTGTTGGGAGAGGGAGACTTGGAGCCGTGTGTATGTCCTTGCATCAATCACGTCAGGGGGAGTCCCAAGAGCCCAGCTTTCAACCAGAAATCTAGTCTCATAGTTGTCTTCCCAAAAGAGACACTGAGCAAGGGTGGGTGGCACAGTGACCTGTTCTGGGGCACAGGCTGGGACACTGACTGGTCTCATGGCCTCCCTACGGCTTACTGAGCAGCACAGCAGCAGTAGAGCTGCCTGGTTGGCTGGCTCTCGGCTTCCTCAGTTCCCACAGGATTCCTGGAAGCATAGTCTAGCTCTGACTCTTCCTGGCCCAAGACCCAAATGCAACATTTCTCCCACTTATTCTACTTGAAGGAGCCCTTGTGATGCCATGGGTTAAGCATTGGGCTGCTCACAGCAAAGTCAGCAGTTCAAATCCACCAGCCATTCCAAGGGAGAAAGATGAAGCTGTCTGCTCCTGTAAAGATTTACAGTCTCAGAAATGCGATGGGGCAGTTCTGCAGGGTGGCTATGAGTCGGAATGACTCGATACCAGTGAGTTTGGTGTTTGGTGTGGTTCTACCTGTTTCAAAGACTAGACATAACTTGGGTGTTCAGAGATGGGACCTGTGGGAAGAAGGGCCCCACTTCCATTTGCCTCTACTGGGGCAGTGTCTCTTTTTTCCATCTTGAGCATTTGGATAGAGTTCCTCTGAAGTGAAGGTTCCAGCTTAAAACCAAGCAGAGAACCTCTGACTATCTCCCCTCTTCCAGCACAGAGCCCAGTGAGGGCATGATGCTGGGGCTTAGAGGACAGTAGAGTCTGAGACCCTGTTGAAGTTTGTCTGCTGCTCGGAGCTCGGTGGCACCGCCTTTTGGTGGCTCCTTCCAGTGCTGTCCCCAGCTCCGCCAGCCTGGATTTGGAACAGTGACCTATGGAGTAGCTAATGGAGCCCGTGAGCACTGTCCCTCTGTGCAGGTACCCCACCTTCATCGATGCCCTACGGGACCTGGATGACGCCCTCTCCATGTGCTTCCTCTTCTCCACCTTCCCCCGCACTGGCAAGTGCCATGTGCAGACCATCCAGCTGTGTCGCCGGCTCAGTGTGGAGTTCCTGCACTATGTCATTGCCGCACGCGCCCTGCGCAAGGTCTTCCTGTCCATCAAAGGCATTTACTACCAGGCCGAGGTGCTGGGCCAGCCCATCGTGTGGATCACGCCATACGCTTTCTCCCATGATGTGAGTGTGCATGCGGGGAGGACTGTCTCCTGGACAAGATCTGGGCGGTGTGGGATGAGTTCAGAGTGTGCTGTTAGTGTCTGGTGTAGTTGAATGTGAGCACCACTCATTGACTGACGACTTAGTCAGTGTGCTTCCACCTTCTAAAGAGCAGCCCTACGAACACTTGGCTGCTAACCTTATGGGTGGTTTCTCCAGTAGGAGAATGACCTGGGCATCTGCTTCATCTTTCTGTAAAGATGTCAGCCTAGAACACCCTCAGGCAGTTCTGTCCTGTCACAGGGGTCAGTGGAGTAGAAATTGGCTCGACAACACCAAAAAGCAGCAGCTGTCTTCTGAAGCTTGTCTCGAGGACTTAAGAGACGTTCTCTGTCTGCACGGTGTGCATGGGGACACGCTGGTCCCTTGAGCATTGCTGGTCAGGCAAGACAGGAAGCTATAGCTGGAGAGAGAGCACCTAGGCAAGTGGAAGTAAGTCCCGTTCTTGCCTCCCTGACCTGTAACTGGGTTCGCTGCCTGGTTGCTGCTCATCCCACTGGGCTGCATTTGGCCCCACTTCCTGCGTGTCTGGTGGGTGAGAACCGGTACTTTTAGTGGAGAGAGGTGCTACGGGCCTGGCTGACAGTGTGTTTGCTGACCAAGTTACTGGAAGCTCTACAGTGAGACATGGCCTTCCCATGGCTGGTGGGAGTATGAGGGCCAGGCCCCACTCTGTCAGCGCTGTGACTGCGTGGGTGTCTGGTGGGAGGCTGTGGTCTGTCTGTAGGTGACGGGGGTGTGCCACCTGGGCAATCCATGTGGGTATCCATGGCTCTTCTCCCCTCTCCTCTTCCATCCATCTATCCTCTCTAGCCCCCCTTTTTCCTTCTCTGGATGCCCCACCCCCATGCTGTCAGACTCTTCTTTGTGTGTGAGTAGGGTTCTGGGGTGGCAGGCCTCCACACAGCTGGCCCTAGGAGGAAGGGAGGGCAGTCCATGGCCAGCTCACCCATTTGGAGTATAGGGGATAGGAACTGGGGAGCGGCAGAGGCCCTGCTGTGAGCCCCACGCCCTCTGGGAGACTGGGGTCTCTTGGGAACCCAGGTGGGTAGTGGGTGGGCACCCTGCTCAGCTCTGTGCTGAGGGAAATAGGACTGGTACCCATGCCCAGGCAGGTCCTGGAGGGCAAATGATGGTGGAAGTTGAGGAATGAGGCACCTCGTGGCCCGCAGGTGGAGAAGCGGTTCCTAGTCATGGTGCGAACAGCATGGAAGGGCTGTTGTGGTCGTTAAGGATCTTTGCTGATGCTCAGCTCATCTGCCCGTCCAGTGCCAGCAGGGCCGGGCCGGCCTCCATGGCAGCACTGTTGTAGGCTGCTGGAGGCACCTCTGCTGGCCTCGGGCTGTGCCTTGGTCTCTGGCCTGGGCCCGGGTGGGTCATGAGTTCCAGATGAGGCCTGCATACCTCCTAGGGGGCCTCACCTCAGCCATCTGGGCCCGGCCCTGGCTATCCCAGCTGCTGCAGAGAATGGGGGAGATTGGAGAGAGCCTAGGCAGTGTAAGGTTGGTCAGCAGCATCTCTGAGGACTGACAATCTCAGCCAAGACAAGAAGGATGAGGGCAGGGTCAGTCAGTCATGAGAAGAGCAAATCCGAGGGCTTCCCACTTATTACTTATAGCTCCCCTTCATGTCTTGGGCTCTGGTGCTTGCCTCCAGATGCCCCTAATCCTTAGGACCCCTGTCTACAGCCTCACTTGCTCCCGAATGCCCTGGGTAAGGATGTGCCACTCTGCCCCTCTTGAGAACCACTCTTGAAGAACCCATGGTCCTTTGGTCTTCCTGACTTCGACCCCATGTAGTTTGTCAGTGTCTGCTTTGCCCCACATCTGCACCCACTCTGCTGATGTACCTCTTGTGCCCCCAGCATCCGACAGATGTGGACTACAGGGTCATGGCCACCTTCACTGAGTTCTACACCACCCTGCTGGGCTTCGTCAATTTCCGCCTCTACCAGTCCCTCAACCTCCATTACCCGCCCAAGGTAGGGAACCAGACCTTCTCCCCAGGAGCCAGGGGCTTGATGATGAGGGGATTCCCTCTTCACGATGAGGTGACGGATTATGAGTGTCCTCCTTCCCTGTTTCCAGCTCGAGGGACAGCCCCACACCGAGCTGAAGGCCCCTGAGGGTGCCTACGCGCTGGACTCTGAGAGCTCAATGGAGGTAAGAACGGCATCAGGAGCATCAGCCTGCATTTCTCTGACATGATCCCTGTCCCCACCTGTCTGGGACCTGGCCTGGGATTGGGTGGCAGAGGGGCCCAAACCCCACTGATGGTCTAATACTGTCAACTGTGCCTCCCCCACCTGCAAGTAGCCCTCTCCTTTCCCGTAGAAACTGGCCGCCCTCAGTGCCAGTCTGGCCCGTGCAGTGGTGCCTGCCGCCGAGGAGGAAGCCGAGATGGATGAGTTTCCTGCCGAGGGGGTGAGAACTGGGCTGGGAAGGGCTGTCCTCTGTGGTCCACTGGGTCTAGGAGGAAGCCAGGGCTGGGACCTCCCATCTCAGCCCTCCAGTGGATACAAGCCCCTGGCTTCTCTTGTCAGGAGGTGGCAGCCCAGGAGGAGGAGCGCAGGAAGGAACTGGAGGCTCAGGAGAAGCACAGGAAGCTCTTTGAGGGCCTGAAGTTCTTCCTGAACCGCGAGGTGCCCCGTGAGGCCCTGGCCTTCGTCATCAGGTGGGGAGGCTGTGGGTGCCCCTGTGCCATGGACAGGCAGCCTTGGATGCTCATTGGTGCAGTCAGATGGCCCAGTTAGTACTTCATGGATCTGTTGTGAAGATTCAGCAAAATGGTACAGATAGTGTCTGGGATGTGTTTGGCATAGTGGGCAGGAGAGGCCAAGGGCAGAAGGGGTCAGCTGAGTTGGGGCTGGAGCGTCAGTGCAGATAGAAGGAACATGTCCTAGAAGGGTGAGTCTGTCAGCTGGTAGCCAGTGGTGCCAGGGAGGCAGACCCATAGCAGGCAGCTCATGCCAGGCACCAATGGGTGCTCCCTCGGCCTATAGGAGTTTTGGGGGAGATGTGTCCTGGGACAAGTCTCTGTGCATTGGAGCGACCTACGACCTCATGGACTCCTGCATCACCCACCAGATCGTAGACAGGCCTGGGCAGCAGACCCCCATCATCGGCAGGTAGGCCCCCAATGCCCTCCCCTCAGCTACCTGTCTGGGTTTCACTGCGGGTTCAGCGAGCCCCCAGCCAGATTGCCCCATGACTTGTCTTAACCCGCCACTTCACGCCAGGTACTATGTGCAGCCCCAATGGTTGTTTGACTCTGTGAATGCCCGGCTCCTCCTCCCCGTGGAGGATTACTTCCCCGGTGTGCCGCTGCCCCCTCACCTCTCGCCATTTGTGTCTGAGAAGGAGGGCGATTACATCCCACCTGAGAAGCTGAAGCTGCTGGCCCTCCAGCGGGGAGAGCACCCAGGTGAGTGGGAGGATTCGGTTGGCAGCTGGGGCACAGGCTCCTGTGAGCTAGCCTTGGCCCCAGGGCCCTGAAGACATGAGCTTTTCACCCCTTCACAGTAAAACTTAAGAAAAACAAACATTTGTGTCCTACAACATTCACTGTTGACGTTCAAAGAAATTGAGCGAAAAAATGGTCTGGAATTGTCATCATTGTTTTTTACACAGGGGGTGGTAGAGCTTGGGGTTTTCTCTGAAGGGGCTGGGGGGCGCGGGGGGGCACAAGATGGGGTCACAGTAAGATGGCCCTGAACTGCCTTTGGAATGTCCCTGTGGCTAATGGTAGGAGCCAAAAGGGGTTCCTGAGTAGTTCTTCCAAGACTTGGAGAACTCATCATTGTTCTGTTGACAGAAAACCTGAACAATTCAGAAGAGGAGGAAGAAAATGAGAGTGATGAGGAAGAAGAAAACGAGCAGGAGGAAGATGTGGAAGCTGGTTCGGAAAAGGAGGAGGAGGCCCACCTGGCGGCTCTGGAGGAGCAAAGGATGGAGGGGAAGGTACAAGGGGCACTGGGTGAGTTAGTCCTGGAGGCTGTGGAGTGTGTGTGGGGGTGGGTGCCCTGTACCCACAGCACCTGTCCTGTGTCCCCAGAAGCCCAGAGTGATGGCTGGTATGGTTAAGCTGGAGGACAAGCAGCGACTGGCCCAGGAAGAGGAGAGCGAAGCCAAGCGGTTGGCCATCATGATGATGAAGAAGAGGGAGAAGTATCTCTACCGCAAGATCATGTTTGGCAAGAGGCGCAAAGTCCGAGAGGTAGGTCTCTGCCACCCTGAGACACTGCAGTGGCTGCCAGCACAACTGCCCAGATCAACCTGGGGGCCACTTAGCTCTTCTCTGAGGCTGCCAGCTAGCTTGGCCCTTCCTCCTGGCTTTGGTCCTCTTCCTGTTCCAGCTGTTCCTGAGTCTGCCAGATTCTGCGGGACAAAATCCAAACCTGCTTTCACAAAGGCCCACTTCACAGAAGTTGCAGCAAGTGGGAGGGGCTGGGGAAGGCTTTGTTAAGCTGCTCTCTTTTGTGTTTTCTTATTCACAAAGCCATATATATTCAGTGCTTTGTTGTTTAAGTCATGTACCCCAACCCTATAGTGAATGGGTCCTGTCTTCCCCTTGGGGCTACCGTCACAGCCCCTGTGTTTTTGTACCTGCAATAACTCAGTTTTAGCTGTGTCTTAACTGTGGACAGGTTGTTTTGCTGGGTTTGTTTTTTCATTTAAGTGTATGGGCTTCCTCCCCATAGCCACACACTGATCGGGTTAGACTGCTTTCTACTTCAGATCTCATTCTTAGAAGGTATCCTTGAGAATGTTCATGTAGGCTGCTGGGTTAAAAGCCTGTGCAATTCCTAGTACAGGTAGTCTTCAGATTACCAACAGGTTCCAATCCTGAGTCTTTTTAAGTCAAATTCACTTATAAGTCACAGAAGCTTTGTTAGTGGGCTGGTAACTGCAAGGTCAGCAATTTGAAACTACCAGCTGTTTCATGGGAAAAAGATGAAGCTTTCTGTTCCCATAAAGATTTACAGTCTTGGAAACCCTGTACAGGGTCCCAGTGAGTCATAAGCGACTCCACAGCAGCACTTCACCACCACTACCATATATAAATCAGAATGGTTAGGTAGGGTTTGTACCTATCATCAGTTAGTCAAATGTTTGTGTTAGTATAGAGTGTACCTTTCTGTGTATACAAAAGAAACACTTCCAGTTCCACTTAAACATTTTTTTAAAAAATAGATCTACACACTAAACCATCATTCATGCAGTAATACAGTAAAAATAATAAGGTTTAGATGTGTATCACAAAGTAAGCCCCCATTTGTTATTATGAACCACTGTATGTACTTTGATTTTTTAATAGGCTTTGTGGGGACCTGCTAAGTACAAGTCTTGCAAAAGGAAACATTCGTGATGGGGAACTGCCAAATGGTACTGGGGCAAAGACTGTCCCAGCTGCACAGGATGAGGGGGGATACTGGGCCCATAAAGTAACAGGCACCCTGATGTTGTTCACTGACGTTTTCTTCCCATGGTGATTTGCCTTTTAGTTGACCACATACACACACACCCCACAGCTTGATCCTTCTCCCCACTTTCTCCTTACAGGCCAACAAACTGGCAGCAAAGCGGAAAGCCCACGATGAAGCTGTGAAGTGTGAGAAAAAGGCCAAGAAGGCCAGGCCACTGTGAGTGCTGGTGGCCCCAAGGCTTCTGACAGCTGAACATGGTGAAGATGGGCCAGAAGGCATAGACAGGCGACTTCTGTTTTCCCTGTGCCCCTCAGCCAGCTGGAGTTCCTCTGGTGCTCTCTGAGCTGAGCCCCTATCAGCTGGGGCTCCCTGCTAGAGGCTGGCCAAACCTGATTTGGTATTTACTCCCCAGGAGGCAGTGACTTGAGGAGTGAGGGCCTGCTGTTCATTCACTGGCTTGCCCTAGCCCTCTCCTCATGGTTGGACCCATGATTCCCAGAGTACTGTGATGGGTGGGGATAGGGGGAGCATTTATTAAATGACTAGTTTTGCAGTCAATTGGCTTCTGTGTTCATGAGCTTTTCTGGGGCTGGGAAAGTGAAGGAGCACCCTGGGTCTTTGTCCAGAGGGTCCAGCCACTGCTTGGAGTTCTGAGCTTCCAGGCACCCCTCCAGAGCTCTGGGCTTGGACTCCTTCCTTTGTCACTCTGACCTTGGCTCACTTCCAGCCCCAGCACTTGTTTCCTCATCTGTAGAATATGGGGAGCCATTCTGGAGCTTCCCTCACAGGGAGTTCGGAGGTGACATATGATAGGCTCACAGCTGCTACATGCCTAGTAAGTGCTGGGTACATACCAACTGTGATTGGCATCACAGTTTCTGCTGACCCAGGAGGTAAAAGATAATTCTGGAAGGATCTCAAGCTCTGATTTGTAAATCCTGAATTTTGTTGAGTGAGCTTAGTCTGCAGCCTGACTTAGGAGCTTGCCTGGCCTTGCTGCTTTCTGCCACCATGCCATAGCCAGGGCTAGTCCGCAGGCCTGGTCAGGCAGAGAGCTTCTGAACCCCAAGTGCCACTGGGCATCCAAGTACCCTTCAGAGTAGGTTTGGAACTAATTCCCACCTTCCCTGAATCAAACACTCTGTCCTCACTCCAGTAGTGGAATCGTGTTTTTTGTTTTTGTTGTTGTTTTTCAGCAGAGAGGTTGGGTAGGCTGTGACCCAGAGAGCAGAGAACCCTGGGTCCCCTAGCTCTGTCTGGGCTTGGCTGTGATTGTGGGCAGTGGGGTAGGTCCATGTTGACTTCCTGAGGGCTCGGGAGGTGGAGTGTTTCCAGGGCCTGGAACAGGATGGGGACCTCAGGAGCCAGAGCCTGCTGCCCTATGGGACAAACGGGCATCCCAGGTCTGGGGCAGGAACAAAGGGCAAGGCCTGAGGGTAGGCCCATCAGATATGGAAAAATCCCTGGCAACTCTGCTGATGTGGAATTTTTCCCATTCCAGAGTCACCCAGTAATGGCGGGGGCAGCAGGGCTCTTCTGATGTGGCCTGTGCCCCTTGGGTAGCCAGCTGGTTTTTCACTGCCCACTGATGGAGTGAAGCATTCTAATCCCCACCCTCAATCCTGCTCTAGGAGAGTGGAGGAGGAAAACGGCCTGGACCAGGTGGGTCGTGGATGAGCTTCTGTGTCCTCACAGCCCCTCAGCCCCTTGACCCTTGGAGAGGCAGGGTAGCTGGGACCTCCATGTGGTGAACTAGTGGAAATCAGTCCCAGAACTTCCCTTAGGATCTTTGCACCCTCTCTCATGGATGCCAAAAATGTGTGTCCCCCAGCACTGCCTCCATACCTTTTATTGGGTCCTCAAGAGGGTTCCCCAAGAAGTTAAGCAGACCGCATCCTTTTCCAGAGACTCACTGCCTCCTCCCTACTCCATTTCCCAGGCACCTCCAGCCCCCTCTTGGGCTGGGGGCTCAGCGGCGGGACAATGGCTCCCTTGGCGGGCCAGAGACAAACAAGCCTTGTTGGTCTGGCGGCGGGGGCGCGGCGATGCGCCCCGGCGTGCTGAATGCAGCTTCTGTGCGTCCCGGGAGGGCGCTAAGGGCCCAGTGGCCGGGGCGCCCATTGGCCGTAGCGCCGGGGGCAGGGCCAGGCCGGCGGCCGTACCTGGTCGGGAGCCGGTGCAGCGGTGGCGGTGGGGGCGGGGGCAAGGCCTAGGCCTGGCGGACGGGGGGCCAGGCGGGTGCGCCCGCCGCCCAGTTAGCGCCCGGGCGGCGCGGCCCGGGCCTAGCCAGCCACGCTGAGCCCAAAGAGGACTAGGAGGACAAGGTAAGTCCAGGAGACCCCGGCACTCTCCGCCAATTTGTGCCTTGTCTCAGTCTCCCCCTTTGGAGTGCAGGGCCACACAACCCAATCCCCAAACAGCCTCCATGTGTCAGATACTGTGTGGGCACTAAGGCTGGAAGGATGGCTGAGGGTACCACCCTACTGCAGCAGGACTGGGCGCCCCTCCCCACTGTCTGAGGGGGGCCATCCGCAGCCAGAGTGGTCACAGGGTGTCGTTTCCCTGCACCTCACCCCCTCCACACTCACACTCCTGGTTTCTTCCCCACAGCCTCTTTCCCTGGGTTTCCTGAATCCCTCTGTGGGCTGGGGTGGGGCTGGGGTCTGTTAATGATTAATTTACTTGAGCAAAGTGACCAGAGCCCTGGAGGGGGAGGGGCTGGGATCCTCTCACCTACAGACTTACCTAGAAAGGGACCCAATGTCAGAGTATGCGCAGGGGGCTGGAGTAAGGGACAGGTCCCATCTGTATCCCAATGGGAGAAGGCCACTGGAGAGAGGCTTGTGGGGTTGAGGGTGGTGATGACCACCCCTGGAGGAAACTCTTGCAAGTCACCTGCTCACTGAGCCAGCACCCAGGGAGGAGGCCTGCCAGGTCAGCCCCCAGTGCCAGTCCAGCACTTGGTAACAGCCAAGCTGAGTGCAGTGCAGGACTGTAGCCCCTTCTAGTGGGGAACCTCCTACTCCCTAGTTGCCCAGAGCAGGAAGGAGAGGCTGTAGGCCCGACACCTGATCCTGGGTTGCTGTGGTGACAGATGCCTTGGAAATCCTCAAGAGGAGACAGAGTTATGGAGGAAGATCCAGTTAGGAGATTCCAAACTCCTCCCATGTCAGGGGGGTAACCTGAGGCCCAGAGAGGTTGAGACTTGTCCAGGACCAAACCAGAGGTGGGGGCCAGAGAGCCCGCATGCTGAACTGTGCCTCCTAGCAATGCCTGCTCCCCACCAGCTTCACTCAGGAGACATTGTAACTATCCCCATTATCCAGTGAGGGAAACTGAGGCTCCTGGAGACCCAAAGACTTGTCCTAGATCACATAGTTGAGAGGTGACTGAGTTGACTACAAATGGTAGCAGAACCTAGCTCCACCACCCTTTTGACTCCATCTCAAAACTCTAGCTCTGCCCAGCACCTGTCTGTCCTCCTTAGGGTCCTAGTCTCTTGGATCTGCTGGCCATACCCTCAAACCCCAGCTCAGGACCCCTCCCCCTTCTCCTTCGTGGCTCTCAGCTCTGCCTGACACTCAGGGAGTGGACAAAAGCAAAGACAAGGAAGCCCTGTTCCCAGCTGCCACCTCGAGCTGCCTTTATCCCTGCTGCTCACTCAGGCAGATCCTGCCTGAAGGAAGCTCCCTGTGAACAAAGAAACATGCTGCTACTTAACTGTCCCCTTCCCCTAGTGGATCCCAGGCCCCCTTGTCACTCATGGAGGAGGAAAGAGGCTACCTGGAAGAAGGAGGCACAAACTGGCATTTCTGGCAGGGCAGGTGGCTTAGGAAAGGATACTCACTTTGCTCCCACTGGATGAGGAATAGACTGACTCCTTTTAGGAGCCCCCACTGCCCACCTCTCCTGGCAGGGGAAGGTTGGTTGCAGCAGAGGTGCCCATGGGAACTGCTCAGAACAGATGCAGTTTGGAGGAAACTAAGGACATCTGGGCAGCTGTCAAGGGCAGAGAGAAGGGTGGGGGACAGTATCCAAGAGGTATGCCTGATTGGACACCACAAACTTGGTCCTAGTAATAGCCTGAATAATCCTAGAAGAATCCTTCCCTATCCGTGTCTCAGATTTCCTCACATGTAATATCTGGGGGTTGAGACAACTTGAGGCTGGAACATGGGAAGCGAGACCTTGGAGAGGGAGGGTGGCCTTCCAGAATTCTGCATCAACAGCTGCTGCTTTCCATGCCAGGTGGGTAGGAGGGTAATAGTAAATTATTTTGTTAACATGGACAGAAGGCTCCTGGAGAGTACAAATGGTTTGTGTTTGACCACTAATCAAGAGGTTGGTGGTTTGAACCCACACAGTGGTGCTATGAAAGAAAGTTCTGGATGGTTTCTACTTGGTAACGCATTGGTTGCCCTGAGTTGGAATCTACTCAGTGACAATGGGTTTTGTTAATACCGACTGTGTGCCAGACCCTGCATTCACTAAGGGTCCCGTTGGATCCTCAGAGCAGTCCTGTGAGAGGCTCACAATACCCCTGTTTTACAGATGAGGAAACAGAGTCAGGAAGGGGAAGTCACTTGCCCAAGGTCACCTAACTGGGGAACAGGGAGGGCAATTCATAGCCTGCAGCCCCAAGAGCAGAGGTAGATGAGCACAGGAGACCACATACAGCTGCGGTGCACAGGACCATGCTTCAAACCTTTATGTGATTAAATATTTTTATGGAAAAAAATACAAGATACTAGTTAAATATTTGAGGCAGGTTATGAACTATAGAATGATTGTATTTTATATACTTTTTATATAATTTTGTATCCCCAGCTCCTCCATACACATCTCTGGGGTTCTCAGTATTTTGGGAGCAAATAAGGAATCAATACTTTCTGGTAACCTCTTTGTATCCATTCGCCAGTCAAAGCTACTTTGGTGTTGACTTGGCCAGAACAGGGCATTGTTACAGGAAGAGCTGTGAGCTTGCCCCTGGTTGTAACTTTGCCATTTAGATCTCCACAAGTTGCAGAGCCTGTATTTCCCATAGTTTCCCATGGGGTTAGCAGAGGAGGGTCTCCCAAGGTGGAGATTGAAAGCATCCTTCAGACGCATGGGATCCAGCTGGCAGCCAGTTCCCCCACCCCAACCTAGGGAATACTAGGAGCAATTGCATGAGAGCTGACAGCTTTGAGGGACTGCTGTGATCCAGTGTGTTGGTTGAAG